CTATTATAAAAATGGGAAACATTATTTTTCAAACACATGTTGCTTTGTGTACTGATATTTTCCAGTGAAATCTATATATATTTGAGTATCAGATTTGCAAGAGAGTTTGCTTTATGTGAATTAGGACCAAATTATGGAGTTAAATTTAAACATAGATAAGATTACATGGAAGGTAATTACTCATCAGATGAATTCACACACACCCATAATTAAATTGCCATATTATTATTATTGTGAATAACATCATTGTTAATAGATGCATGCAATTAATATTTAAATGTCTTCACTGCTCTTACTTGATGTTTCATTGATTGGCAGAGTAGGGTATAACTGGATTTTTAATTCCCCCCTCCCCTTTTTTTTTATTATTATCATTATTATTATTTTTTTTTAGCAAATTTCTGTGATTGTAGACTAATATGTGATATGTCTGTAGCTATGCGGATCAATGGTCATGGAAGCCGTGTGCCTCGACACCACGGCTATGAGTCATCGTCTATGATCAGTTCTGATTTAGAATCTACTAGCTTCTTTGACTCGGATGATGATGCCTCCAGTCGTATCACTGCCACCACAACAGGTATGGGGATACTCTGAAACCAGTTCCACCTGTATTGGAGAAATGTTTTGATAAGATTATTCCATGTTGCTCTAACTTTCTTAACTTGTTAATTGCTTTTTTTGTCTTCTTCTTTTTTCTTTTTCATTTCTTTTCTTTTTTCTTTTTACTACATTTTCTTTTTGCTTTCATTTTCGAAGTTCAATTGAATTTCTGGAATTCATTTTATTTTATTTTCTGAATATCTAGACATACCCATATTCTATGAGCTGTGTCCTAAGTTCGTAGACCCTTACAACATGCTCTGTTCTGACTTTCTTCCTTCTGTTATCAGGAAGCAGCAGCGTATCTCGCCTCCATGCCCGCCATCGACGGAAAAAGCAGCGCCGACACCGCCTGCAACCCCCTATGTCTCGCACTTCTTCTATATCTTCTATTACTGACTCTACAATGTCTCTTAATATTATTACTGTCACGTTAAACATGGACACTGTCAATTTTCTGGGGATATCTATCGTTGGGCAATCAAGTAAAGGTGGCGATGGTGGTATCTATGTGGGATCAATTATGAAAGGGTAAGTTTATTGTTGTTCTTGTCTGTCAGGTTTAATTGTGCTGATATCTAGATATTCTAATTCAGAGAATTAAATATAAAAATACATACTTCAGGTTAGTTACTTTAAGAAAAATTTGGGCTTTGGATATATGTATATATTTGTGTACTACTATATCTTAATCCATTCATATATATATATATATATATATATATATATATATATATATATATATAATATATATATATATATATATATATATATATATATATATATATATATATATATATATATATATATATATATATATATATATATATACATACATACATATATACATATACATACATACATACATACATACATACATACACATATACATACATATACATACATAAATACATACATACATACATACATACATACATACATATATACACACATATATGTATGTATGTATGTATGTATGTATGTGGGGGGTGCTTAAAAAAAGAAAAAATGCTATATATATTTCTGTAAGCTAAATTATGGTTCCCAACTTTGGGGCTTGCAAAGGTAGTAGTTGTTCATGAGCAAAGTTCAGAATTTCAGAGACTCCAACATAAGATATATTATTGCTTGCTATAAAGCCTCCAAAGATCAACTTTTTGGAGAGGAAAAAGAAATGCAAACTCAGTTATGGTTATCCTTTTATTTAGTAGACAGGTCTTTCATAAAACTGGGGTTTCTGGGAAAACTGATTTAAATAGACTGGGTCTTTGGTGGTGAAAGGGTTGGGAACCTTTGCTCTAGCATTTGTATAATAATGGATTAAAGGAAAAAAATCTTTGGTGATAGATTAGATGTATCATTAGTGCGATAATATTAGAGAAGTTGAAACGAATAGTTTAAGATTATGAGGGAGTTACTCCGATGAAAGTAAGTCCTGTGGGTTTTAAGCTCTTGCCATTTATGTATTTGTGATTAGATAGTATAATAGTATGGGCTTTTATTTTTATTATACTGTTATTTTTGCAAAATACATAACCATAGCAAGATTTTTTTTGTGAATTGTTATGGTGTATTTGAAATTTCAAAGTAATTTTTTTTAGTAAAGCAAAATAGCTATCCATATTTGAGTTAATATATGCCTGAATAGGAATGATGTTTTACATGTCTAATTAAAAATTTTATAGAGCAGTTTTTAAAAGATAACTCTGAAATGGAACAGTAAATGAAACCCCGTAGCAAAAATGGCTGTTCAAGTGCTTTTATTTCTGAATTACAAATTTGTAAAGTGTCTCTGTAAATATGTACTGTAGAATCAGTCTCCGTAATTGCACCATTAGCCAATTTGTCCACAAAATTTACAATTACCTGCATGTTACAATTTCTGACTGAAAGTTCTGTTATGAAATGAAAAGAAACAGATCCGAATTGTAGATTAGGGATTAGTACAGAAGGTTTTTATTATAGCAGATTTGGTAGTATATCTATATGTTATTAATCTTAAGGTAGTGTAATATTTCAAAGATTTTCATAATGCAGTAACATGTTCTTAGGAAGCTCCCTCCCAGAAAGATAAATTTGTATTGGTTACAGCGCTATAGAGAGAAAGGATCCTAGACTAATCTCATTTTGCTGATACTATGATACTCTGCCTTTTGATTTCATTGTTAGGAATGAAATACATAAAAAAAATTTGACTTGAGTGATGACGACTGTGAGTTGATATCATAGTATATTGCTTTTTGTCTTTTCAGTGGTGCGGTAGCATTAGATGGGCGTATAGAACCTGGAGATATGATCCTCCAGGTTAATGACATAAACTTTGAGAACATGAGTAATGACGAAGCAGTTCGGGTGTTGCGAGAAGTTGTTCAAAAACCAGGGTGAGTTGAATGTTATTTAATAAACTGATCAGTTTCATTTTTGCAAATACAAAAGAAAGTAATTGCATGGAGTGAAAATTACAGATCTTCCCTCTTATATAAAATGAAAAAGACCTAATTCTTAGATGTACATGTATACACTGTAATAATGCAAATACAAATGGATTCTCTTATACAAGTAAGCTACCCAGATGATAGATCTATTCACAAAATTATCCAGTCATTTTTGGATTTGTGGCATGCTATATATATCTTTTATAAGGCTGTAATACTTTTACATCGTCCAAATATTTTGCATATACGGCTGCCACCTTTCTATCCCATTTTCACAGAGTTGCCAGCTTTCAATTTCCATACTTTTTGAAAACCCAGTCTTTTATTTCGAAGTTGAGATCTTTTTTTCTTTCTTTGGCAATTTCGTTCATCTTTGTCTTTTTCATAAGAATGACTTGTAATTTGGTAAAGGCAGTTCTTTCACTTTCATTCAATATTTTTGTATCATGAGTGTGTGTGTGTATGTGTGTGTGCATGTACGAAAGTGTGAGTGTGTGGATTAGGGTGTATGTGTGTGTGTGTGTGTTTGTTTACATGTATCATAAAACTCAGGAAACTAAACAAATAGAGATACAAGGCCATAGATTTACCAAATAGATGTACAGGCCATTGCTGAAGATGAAAGATACACACATGTAATATATTTCATTTGTGGTTCAAAGACATGTAGACAGACAGACATATATATGTATATTAAGCTGTTATTTATATATTTATTTGTAGATATGCATTTATATATATTTATATATATATTAAAAAAAAATCCTTATTCTTTTCAAAATGAACTTTGCATTTTCAGGCCAATCAAACTTGTTGTAGCTAAATGTTGGGATCCCAATCCAAAGGGCTATTTCACCATACCTCGCACAGAGCCTGTTCGACCCATTGACCCCGGTGCGTGGGTTGCCCATACTCAAGCATGCCGAGGAATACCAGGTTGAGTGTAGACCATGTTTTATTGTATTTGCAGTGCTGCTAAGTTGTCATGGTAACGTGTTTATGACTATAAGATATGAAGGAGCACTGGAAAATACAATGTAAGATCTCTGTTAATTATTTTTTTATGTAAATAGATGCATATACTTTTTTCTTATTTTTATAATTAAATTGCTGTAAACACATCCAACAATAGTATTGTTAGCAAGTGATGGCAAGCAGATACAAGTGCTCCATTCAGACTAATCATGATTGCGTTCACCTTGAATAAGTGATTGTTTGCCCCTAACAATATGACTATGGAGGATACTGTTATGGAATGCAATAGACATTTAGCATTTCTAGGTATATCTGTTGCTTTTCATGCACTTTCAGATGTTAATAAGCAATGATGCTCTCTTTCTCTGTAGACGAGTCTAAATTTTAGGATTTAATATGTGAATAAACCAGATTTTTGCATTATTTTTTTTCTCTCTCTGTCTCTTTCTCATTTTCTCCTTGAATGTATTTAGGTTAAAATGTTGAATTGGAGTTGTTTAATATCCGCGACAGTGTAATGTACATAAGTACATCTTCACAAGCTACGGTCTCATCAGTATGTTTCCTCTTGCACATTTTAGCCTGCTGTCCTTTTGGTTCTTAGATGTTTCCACTTGATTTATGTTTTGGTTAATGTACAGCACAATTTATTTCAGTGCAAAATGGAGTATGAAAATCTTGATAAAGGAGTGAAGTAGCTGTAAATATAGTAGAGGATATGATAATTTTATACTTTATATATATACACACACACACGCACACATATATATATATATATATATATATATATATATATATTATATATATATATATATATATATATATAAATATATATATATATATAAAGTATATATGGTATATATGTATGTATATATGTATGTATATATATATATATATATATATATATATATATATATTATATATATATATATAATACGTATATATGTTATATATATATATATGTATATATACGTATATATGTATATATATGCGTATATACTATATATATCTATATTAATCTATCTATATATATATATATATATATATATATATATATATATATATATATATGTATATATATATATATATTATATATATATATATATATATATATATATATATATGTATATATGTATATATAGTGTGTGTGTGTGTAATGTGTATATATATATATATATATTATATATATATATATATATATATATATATATATTATATATATATATATATATATATATATATAATGTCCATAGATATGGTTATTGATGATGGTATTTACTATCACATCTGCTCAGTAACTTGATGACTTTAAAACAAATTATTTAATTTCTCCTTTTCAGTAGCTGTGTGTACAAAATAAGTAAATACATCAAACAGCTACATAGTCTCAAGAGAGGAAGTGATAATGATTTAGGAGGATTTTAGAGCTTTTCTCTTTTTTGTATCTCATAATTTCAGACTTTATTAAGTTTGATTTCTATTTTGCTTTCTTTTTTATTTCTAAGAATTTGTTTTTCTCAAATTCATAAAACATTTGATTATCTAAGTGGGCCACTTGCATCATTCAGAATTAACTATTCCAGTCTTCTTCTTAGAAAATTGCATTAAATTGGAGATTTTTAAATTGTAATTGGCATTGGCAAGAACAGTGTGTGAAGTATGTAGTAAATAAGTAAAAGATAAAAAGCATAGATTGGTATAGGCATTATGTCCTTGGCCATTAAAAGCCAAGAAATGAGGACAGAAATCATGGTCATACACAGCTGAGTACAGTTAAATCCCCATAGTATTATTGGCACTATTTTTTATATGAAAATGTTTGAGTAATTTGTTGCATTGATAACCATTTACATTGTTCTCTGCCACAGCCAGTGTAATTTTGGATTCAGTTAAGTGTTTTAATTTTTTTTAATTAGAAAGAAAAGCAGTTGCATGGGAGTGTATTTTCATAATTCATAGAGGTTGTTAGGTTAAGCTCGCATATTACTTTGGCATGTCTTTATATGTGGATGACTTTAAGAATACTAGGCTTTCCTTGTTTTAGTATTAAATACAGGTTGAAGTTCTATAAAGATGTGAAGACCACAAATAGTTAAGTGGTATGGATACAAAATTTTTGCAGTTATGCCACCGACATGTAAGGCAAATAGGCTAGGTCTCAGTCACACATGACCACTTTTTTTCCATCTTGGGTTGGGGTGGGATTACCTATCTTTTTCCATAGTGATAGATAGATAATGGAAATGAAGGCCACCAAGTGAAATTTATTTTGAGTAAGACATCCACATTTTATCCCTACCCCCCTTCCCCTCGGCAGGAGAGTTTCCTGGACGTCCGCCATCTGTCAGCACCTTAACTTCGACCAGCTCTTCTATCACTTCCAGCATCCCAGAATCAGAGAGTAAGTTCCCTTTGATTATCTGATTGTGATATGTATTGATGTTAGTAATTGTCTTACTGAAAATTTGTTATAAAGAGAGTCTTACTCTTGTTTCTTTGTGTTCTTTTATAGCAATCTATGGGCATCCAAAGCTAAGAGAAAGTATAGGTAGCTTTGACTTATATTTGTCTCTCAATGTTATTTTAGTAGGATAAGTGTTATAGGAGTATGTTTTTCAGTAAACTTCATGATTTACCCAAGTACACAAATCTGTGGTAAACTTGTAATTACTAATGCACTCTAGTCAAAGGTGTTTTAGAAACAAATTTTGTTGATTTTTGTAAAATTATAAATTTTTCCTCTTTGATATAAGTTAAAATAAATCTCCTCTTAGTCTACTAGTGACAATAATATATTTCTTGATATATATATATATTTTTTTAAGTATTTATATGTTATATTTATAGAGGTCTTTTAGGAAGTTATTTGCATTTTAATATGTTTAAGTAGTTACCTAAGACAGTGCATCATGCCGTGGAAGCTTTACCTGTAGTTTGGATTGAAAGTGTTTAAGATGAGAGGCAACTTTAATACCTTTAATTGTAAAAGAGAAGGATGTGAGTTGTGTTATTGTCATGGTTAAAGTTTCATGTCGGCATTCTTTAGAAGGAGTGGAACTCTCATCACCAGTGTCATGTGTGGACCTTATCTCCATCACTTGTATTATACAGGGGATCTGATATTCATTACTGACCATGTGTGGTAAGAAGCTTAGCAGTATTTCTTTCTAATCTGCTGAGTCATACGAGCAGCCCCCACTTAAGATTGTGGAATATGCCCGCCAACACATCCTTCTGAGCAGGCCGAAGTTAATCCAAATTACATGTCATATGCTAACTAATTTAAATGTATTCACATGAAGGAGTCACTCATAGGGTATGAAGGATGTCCCTTATAGTCGGCATGTTTGAAATACTTGCAGTAGATCGTTTTTTTTTTTTTTTTTTTTTTCCCCTCTCCTTTCCCCCTCTTCTCTCTCCTTTTTTCTCTCTTTCTCTCTCTCTCTCTTTCTCTTCTCTCTCTTTTCTCTCTTTTTCTCTCTCTCTTCTCTCTCTTTCTCTTCTCTTTCTCTCTCTTTCTCTCTCTCTTTTCTCTCTCTCTTCTCTCTCTTTCTCTCTCTTTCTCTCTCTCTCTCTCTCTCTCTCTCTCTCTCTCTCTCTCTCTCTCTCTCTCTCTCTCTCTCTCTTCTCTCTCTCTCTCTCTCTCTCTCTCTCTCTCTCCTCTCTCTCTCTCTCTCTCTCTTCTCTCTCCTTCTCTTTTCTCCTTCTTTCTTTCTCTCTCTCTTTCTCCTCTCTCTTCTTTCTCTCTCTCTCTTTCTCTCTCTCTTTTTTCTCTCTCTTCTCTCTCTTTTCTCTCTCTCTCTCTCACTTTCTCTCTCTCTTTTCTCTCTCTCTCTCTCTCTCTCTCTCTCTCTTTCTCTCTCTCTCTCTCTCTCTCTTTCTCTCTCTCTCCTCTCTCTCTCTCTCTCTCTCTCTCTCTCTCTCTCTCTCTCTCTCTCTCTCTCTCTCTCTCTCTCTCTCTCTCTCTCTCTCTCTCTCTCTCTCTCTCTCTCTCTCTCTCTCTCTCTCTCTCCTCTCCCTCTCTCTCCTCCCTCTCCTCCCTCTCTCTCTCTCCCCTCCCTCTCTCCCTCTCACTCTCACTCCTCTCTCCTCCCCTCTCTCTCTCTCTCTCTCTCCTCTCTCTCCTCTCTCTCCTCTCTCTCCTCTCTCTCTCTCTCTCTCTCTCTCTCTCTCTCTCTCTCTCTCTCTCTCTCTTCTCTCTCTCTCTCTCTCTCTCTCTCTCTCTCTCTCTCTCTCTCCTCTCTCTCTCTCCTCCCTCCCCCTCTCCCTCTCCCTCTCCCCCTCTCCCCCCCCCTCTCCCTCTCCTCCCTCTCACCCCTCTTTCTCTCCCTCCCCCTCCTCTCTCTCCCCCCTCCCTCTCTCTCTCCCCCTCCCTCTCTCTCCCCCTCCTCTCTCCCCCCTCCCTCTCCCCCCTCTCTCTCCCCTCTCTCTCTCCCCCCCTTCATCTCTCTCCCCTCTCTTCTTTCACACTTCCCATCTTCCCTGCCATTTTATCTCATCATTATACAAATGATTATGTTGGAATAATTTAAGGTTCATTAAGATGATCCATTATCTGAGAAACCAGTCTGTATATGATGTATATAATCTGTAATACCTTCTCAGACCTAAGAGACTTGTCAGATAGTAAAAAAAAAAAATATTTAATTAAAAAAAAATAATAATAAATAAAAATAAAACAAAAAATAAAAAAAATCACCTTCACTCGCACCCTCACCCTCATCGTCAACATCAACATCACCCAGATTCCTGCCTTTCCCCCTTTCTGTACACTCATCCATCCTCTCACTCTCTTCCTCTTCCCATCCTACATCTCTGGCATATTTGGCTGTTCTTTTTGGCTTCAGTATTATTAAAGTATTGTGCCATCTTCTGTACTTTTGGATTTACCATTCTTTTTTATATAAATTTTCTAGTAATATCAAGGTAAATTCAATATTTGCTTGAATTCTTGTTTTTTTTTTACATATCCTTATGTATTTGCCATTGCCAAAGTAAATATGTAGTGTAGGTTTGGTTTAGTTCAAAGAATAAATTAAGAATGTGTAAGCCATTGGAATGTACAAGTTATTCACAACATTTCTCTTTTTTGTAGACTTGTTATTTTTTAACCCCTGCATTCTCTCGTATTCCTTTTTATTTGTTCTGCATAGATATCTCATTGTTTTGTAATGTTTCTTTCCTGGCATCCTGAGAGGCATAGCTTCTTCCTTAGTTTTGAATCACCATCATCAGTAATTGTTCTAATTATGATTGTTGTTTGATGTAAAGAGCTAGCTACAACTTAGATTTTGTAATCATGAAGGCAACATTCCACTGTTACCATATGTTAGCTTCTGATGCATCATTTATTCATATGAAGCCGCTTATGAGGTTCAGCCTTTTATGGCGCTATTTTTGAAGTATTGGCAGCCTTTTCGGATTTGCAGTTTCGTTTAAGATGATTGGAATACTGCGTGTCATGCTTTGGACTGATCCAGTGTCTCATAATATCATTTCTTGTTTTAGTTCAAATTTTTGTTAAAGTATACATATGAGATATTTTATTTGTTAACAGTTACAGAACAAGTTTTGCAAGATCCTGCATAAAGAAGGAGATGGAGGGAACAGGCTCACTAGAATGACAAATTCCATTAATGAGTTGGCAGCTGATGCCTCTCTTCATGTGGCAACTCAAGGCTAGCCAAACTCACTCCAGTCACTTACACAGCTGCTTTGACCAGTGCAGCAGCAATGGCAGCTAATTACACAGTTTATGTTTTAGGACCGTATGAAGAGATGAAGTTGACTGTGAACACACCAATGGATACGATAGTGCGGGCGATGGCTGCACCAGACTCAGGTTTAGAAATCAGAGACAGGATGTGGCTAAAGATTACCATACCCAACGCATTCATTGGTAAGTCCCTATACCATGTTTTGTCCATAGAAGCTAGTATTGTGTAGTATGATCTTATATACATTGATTAATTTCCTTTTTTATCAGT